CTGTATTTATTTTTGAAGGAAACCGACCACTTTCCTTCTGCGTAAACCAAATCCTGCCTTTTCATAAAATTAAAGTGTTTTGTAAAGTTGTGCACACAACTACCATTAATTATATTATGCGGATGATAATAATTTACAATATTTACAGATTTATTTAGAATAACTTTCGTTATTTTAATATAATTTTTGACTTGTTACGGTTTATAGTTTCTAGAAAATATATTTTTAAAGTTTTTTTTGCTGTTCTTTAGAATTTGTTCTTTAAATCCATTATCATGCATATATGGTATAAGTTAAGAACTTTGCATGGTCGCGACTTATAACTATGTTCCAAGCCTTTTATTTTTACATGAATAACATATGTATATTTCAATGAATTATTTATCGTACTTGTATGTTAGAAGAGGGCTTTATATGACAGAATGATTTATAATTATTGTTGTTACTATTATAAATAGATTTAAACTGATCGATTTTTATTTCAGAAGTCAAATCTAATGTCCGAAAATGGAGATTTGGACGCGAGAAATCATTCCTTTCAAATAAGCATAAATAAAACCCTTGAAAACTGTGTCAACAGAAAAGAACTTTAAAGTTTATTTCAGTTAAATCTTTTCCTACGTGTAGAATACGAATCAATACAAATTTCGAAGATCTAATGTTAGATGAAAATAGAAAAAAATGCTGACTAAGAAAATATGATTAGAGCACTCTTCGATAAGTTTCATTTTAATTTTTATTTGCCGTCAAATCAATTTACACAATACTTTCATTCTAGTTAAAGCGTGACTTTCGATTCAGTACATTGATCACGATTCACTGACACGCGCATTTCATCTTGACATTTGGATTTTTATCGAAAATGCGAATTCTCATAACTCTCGGATTTGCTCTCTTTCCTTCTTTATTTTATTTCTATTTAGAATAATTGCGCGATAAATATCATATTTGAATTATATATCTGATCATATCTTAGATTAAAATTAAACGTGTGAAACGAAGTAATATTATTCCTAGATAATAAAAAATCTCATAAATTGCACATATGCATAAAAATTATTATTGCATTGCATGCATAAAAATATATTAATTATGATATGCATAAGAATTCAATATTCAAATCTTTAACAGAGAATGCAAATAAAAGAAAAGAATTTTTTTACAAGAATCTTTTGATCAAACATCTACGTTTTCATTTGACTCGCGCATCTGCACACGCCCACGACGCTGCAGCTGCACGCCGAAGATTGATCGGTCTAACATCCTACGTCCGTTGCGGTGCGCGCCTCGCGCGAGACTGATTCTCCCGCGCGCCGTTCGAGATATTGCGATTGCGAGACTGACGATCACGTGATCAGTCACCGCGAGCCGCGCAGCGCGGCGGACGTACGGAGGCGCGTGAAACTAATGGAAGCGTATTTCGATCGAAAAATTTTCTTGTATTAAATTCTATTTTTTGCTGTTAAAGACTTAAATGCTTGAATTTTTATGCATTGTAATTAATTAATACACTGAAAAAATTATTTAATTATTTAAATAAATATTATTTCAATACTCTTTTACACATTATTTATTTGAAACTAATAATAGTGATTTGTCACAAAAAATATTTATTTGATATGCAAAGTCCTTTTTCAAAACAGATAAATATTTATTTATTTCAACTAAATATGTAAATGCAACGATTTAAATAAATATTTATTTAAATTCAATAGTCTTTTCAGTGTATATTTTTAAATGCTTGAATTTTTATGCATTGTAATTAATTAATACACTGAAAAAAGTTATTTAATTATTTAAATACATATTTATTTCAATACTCTTTTACACATTATTTTTTTGAAACTAAAAATATCGATTTGCCATAAAAATATTTAATATAAAAAATCCTTTTTCAAAACAGATAAATATTTATTTATTTCACTAAATATGTAAATACAACGATTTAAATAAATATTTATTTAAATTCAATAGTCTTTTCAGTGTATATTTTTATGCATACATTGCAACAATATTTATATACATGCGTTGCAATTTTTGAGAGATTTTATTATTAAAGAATAATTTAATTTGCTTTGCGCACATAATATATTATCGGTTAGATATATTTTAAATAACATTTTTAATTCAACACTTATAGAATGATTTCTAAAAAGAAATTTAATTCACAATCGTGTTTATATTAGATATTTATAATCATGTATATATATTTGTACTATCAATAATACTGAATTTATATAGATATGAATGTTATATGATTATTAGCGCATTATATCATTAACACACGTATATATATCTATATATATCCACATATATACTTTCTCTAATGATCAGAAAATTATACAGATGATTCATCCAGAGAATATATAGCTTACGTCTGTCACGTTATTTAATTATACTAATATGATAACGGGATACGCAAGGTTGATCATTATATATAATACACATGTAACATCACATAAGAATCAATTGTCCCTCTCAATAACGTTTAATAATGATTTTTCTAACAAAATCTATCTTAAAAATAAACAAAATTGATCTTAAATATATATAAAAGAAAGAAAACTACATACCTTTGTCTTAATAGTGGATCTACACCTACAGTAGGTTCATCTAGAATCAGCAATTCTGGATCATGCATAAGTGCCACTGCGAAGGACACCCGCCTCTGTTGACCACCGCTAATATGCAAAAAATATATTAAATATTTATATGTTATAATTAGGATATATATTAAATTTTAATTAAAATTTATTGTAAATAAATTTTTTTATCGCAATTCGATAAAGATGCGTCAGACAGCAGACATAAAACAAAAAATATGTAAGATATAAAACACGATACTTCGAGCGCGGAATATATGTATATATGATTAAATAATTCAATCCTTACGGGACGCGAATAATTGTATTGCGAAATAAATATTCATTGTCAGTGTTTGGTTCGAAAGAGACAAATAACTCGCAGAATGTTAGAACGTTCTTAAAATCTATAGTTCTCGCGGACGCAAATATATACATATATAATCGAGGGAGAATGTGTTTGCACAGTATATACCTGAGATTCTTCACCAGCCGATTCTGCGACGGCAGGTCGAGAAATTGCAACAAAAAGCGCAGCCTCTCGACAATTTCGGCCGTGCACATTCCGAATATCCAGCCGAAGTACATCATCGTCTCGCGGATGGTGAACTCGCCGTAGAGAGCAATTTCCTGCGGCATGTAGCCAACCCTTTTCCCGGGTACGCCGGAGCCCTTTGTTCCAGGTTTACCACCTAGTACCCAGATCTCGCCCGAATTCAATTTTCGTCGACCGACAATGCAGGATAGTAAGGTGGTTTTACCGCATCCGCTGGCACCTAGTAGCCCGTATCTAATACGAATAATTTGCGAATTTATTTCGTCCGTATACATATTTATTTAAATTACAGTGAGCGATGAAAGATTTGCCGAAAAAAATAACCACTTAAAAACTGCATCCACAAAATCTTGGTATTAAGCAAAAAGGAAAAAGTTAAAATATATTCTGTACAGGGGAATTTTAAGTCTTTTTAGATTAAATTGTTAGTCTTTTTAGACTGACGGAAAAACAACTTGACGCTGGATGATAAATGTCTTTACATTGAGATATCTCAGCCTTCGGGATTAGTTTTGAATGTGAATAGACGAATCGGCCGCTCGCGACGAGCATCATTTACATTTGCAATTGTCATCGGTATGCTAACGAAAGCGCGTAGTTAGCGATACTTGAAAGAATCGAGATCCTTGAAGTCTACGTAAAAATGTAAATTCCGTGAAGGATTATTTATAACTATAGCGATCCTGAAGAGGCCTCGCCGGAAGCCAAATGATAGAATTGTTTGCATGACTGATAAGCGGCTCTCTTGCCAAACGGAAAAAACGAGCTTCGCGTTGTGTCGTGAGACAGACACATGCGGCTCGTCAGGAATTCGCTGAATTGTTGAAGCAAGCACAATAAACGAATAATCAAATTTAAATTGCAACGGCGGGTTCAGCTGAAGGTTGAACGCGAAGCATGCGTGATGTAACTCACGACGAGGAAAATGGAAATTGAGAACATGCCTGGGACGTTGCCATCATGCCGAAGTGAATCGCGAGAAATTGATCGTCGATTTATATAGATTTTTCATATGTAAGATATTTCTACGCTCTTTCTTTCACTTTCGATGCAACTCTATTTCTATAAGTATGAATTTTCCCCGCTGGAAATTTAATGAAAGCTATGATTATTTAATTAAGGAAGTGAACAACATTTCTGTCTGTTATTAACGTAACGAATGAAACAAATAAGAAAAGGAATCAAATATCATTAAAATCAAAATAATTGCTAATTAGAATGTTGATGATAAAATATTGTATTGTATTATTCTTTTTAGTATTATAATATTATTATTATATGAAAAAAGATTACGTAAGATTATTGGAACCGTATTATGCAATAGTTCAGAAGATAATCCGTTTATTATTACAGAAAATTGTGATACACTTTGAACGCAATCAAAATTATAATTAGCTTTTTCCATAGTAACTGTCTGAGCAGAGTGTAATCAGTAGCAGTAAGCATTAATAATTGCTCAAATAATTTCAATAATCAAGACTTACGTAAATAATATTTTTTGCCAACTTGTTTTTTGCATCGCAAGCAAAGGATATTCTCCTTTGTAAGCGATAAGCATTTAGACAAGCATTAATTATTGTCTGAAATGCGAGAAGATCAGAAACGCAAGACATATTTGATTAATGTCCATATTTTTTTAAAAAATTGCTATTACTTAAAGAAAGCGTAGTTAAAAATGTAATAAAATAAAGAAAAACTTTTATAAAATTAATATTGATACAAAATTAATATTGATACAGATATTTTAAGTGGATTTCGTCAAAATGAGATCAATTTAATGAAATTGTTGGACAGAAGGAATTCTGACAGAGGAGTTGGAACTTCCACAGGTATAGGAATCCATTAGAATATTTCAAATAAGTCTGCTTTATATTTTGAAAAGCCTTCAATATTTCAAATTGCTATCATTATTCAATAAATATTTGGTTACAATTCCAAATAAATACTCTACATACTACTATTCTCACTCAGTTCAATACGCGTTATGTTAATTACTATGTTAACATGACAAAATTTAGATCGAAAGGAACGAGGTCGCATACAATTCTTTTTTCTCTTGAAGGCATAATCTGTTCGCTATTTTAATTATTATCTCAAGTTTGCGGTTTGTAACACATGCGAAAGACACGATATAATGACGTATGTCGATTGCCTGGCAATTACAAAACAAATTTCGTAATGATTATAACGGAAATAATTTTTTTCAGCATTTCGATTTCCTGATCGCCGCATAGACTCGTTGTCTCATGTATGTTATGGAATAACTATTGCAATATTAGTTATTTAACCTAAATCGCGATTTAGCGAGCTGACTTGGACGAAAACCTGCATTAATTAATGCACGCAATATTGTTGATCAATTGTGCTTCCAATAAACGAATAAACGAACATTAAAATAGGAAACGAGTTTCTTATATCGCTTTCTCAATGTAGCGTATTTAGTTATACAGATAGTATATTCAGCAAAAAGGCATAAATTATCAATTTTTTTTATATTGATTGCAATTATAAGAGAGAAGGTATTAGAGTTAGGAAATATTGAGCAATCTCGACGGGGAAACATATAGATTTACGGTGTGAAACGCGTAGACATGATATGCAAAAAAAGAATGTACGTTATTACTTATCGTTTTATTTGTAATATATATGTATAATAATTATCAATTTGCAACGTATATGTAATTATTATTAATAATAAGTAAGTTGCAATTAATATTATATTTTATTATAACGTTTTATGGACATGTACATAATATTAATATCGTTTTTATTTTATTTAACTTGCATTAAATGCCTCAAAAGACTTTCAGTCGTTATATATATTCGTTACGTACATATACATATTTAATTATTTGATACTAGATATGTAGATATACAAAAATTAACAAGTTTTCTTGATTTACTATTTCATGCATTTAATGCAAGCTAAATATTCAAACTGTTACTAATTGATTATTAATTGCAAAAGAAATATATAAAGTAAGTTCTTTTGTCCATATATATATACCAAAAATATGTCTTTAAATAAAATAATAAAATAAAATAATGAAATACTTACATCGAGCCTTTGGCCACGGTCATATTGAGATTCTGTAAGATATGATTCGGATTCTTCGTGCTGCCATAGCTCTTGAAGGCATGCCTGACGCTAACAGCTTGTTGACGATTCCAGGTGGGGTTGTTCAGACCCGGTTGTGACAAGACTGCGCTTGACGTCACTGACGTCAGGTCCACGTTGCTGTCCCCGTTGTTCTGCATCGTCGTCGCGTTCGTGAGACCCTCTGCACCCGCACCTCCGTCGCTGGAACAAGCAAACGAGCATGACGTTAACGAGAGATCGCGTTGTCAGAAATCGCGCACCGGCGATTACGGATGCACACAAGGATGTCAAATCGCATGCGACGTCTTGTGCAACAATCTTGTATGTACACACGATGCCGACGGCGAAGATTTCTTTGCAAGGTGCTTGTGATGCGTCGCGTACAATCGTGATGCAAAAAGATGTTTCAAGGTAAGGCTATACTGTAGTGCGATTCGAAAATTCAATCATGCTCCTTTGATGAAACGTTACTCGAGATTCATGCAATTTTCAGCTTCAAAAATCGATAAAAACCTTTTTTTCCATCTTAAAAACTAGATTTTTCCATTCTGTTGAAGAATAGAGAGAGATGCATTTTTGGTGGAATTTCCAGAAAATTGCAATGCTTAATCGCCTCGTTTTAGGATTTTTCCGAAGGGGTTGATTACAGCCTGTTGTGTCCAACTCCTTAAAAGGAAAAATTTTAAAGCGCGCCTGCGAAATTATACACTGCAAAATCACCGCGTATTACACGCACTGCGAGAAACGATTCTGCAAATCTCGGTGCGAATTGCATGTAGAAAGAGCGATGCGAGTTACGCAACAGGCGCGCGCGGCTTTCTTTTCGCTGACGCGCGTGGCAATTCATTGGGCAATATGCGGTGGACGCGCGCTCATGTGTATCTTCTGGTGGATGAACCACGCAGGTAGATTAATGTGTACAAAGTGCGTGTGCGTGACGGATGGATGTATGCATATGCTCGGAAGATGCGGAATTCGTAAGGCACACACACGCATCGACGTGCTCACGAACGAGCGCGAATTCTCGTGGCTCTTCTGCCTCGTCGATTTTATTTCGCGATTTTTCTTCATTTGTGTCTTTAGAATATTCTTTGTGTCTTTCATTAGCTAAACAATAGAATGCGAGTATTACATTTTGAAGCAGTAGTATCATCTCTAAAAATTCCATTTTTTTCTATCTCTGAAATGCAAAATATGAATATAGATATAGAAGATATAATTTTTATACAAAAATTAATTTGAAAAATAAATTGCAAAATAAATTATAAAAATTAAAATAAAACTCAATTAGAATTTCAAATTCACATTTCTCTTTTCGTCAATATATAATAATTATTTAAACAATTAAACTTGTAAATTTGCGCACATTTTGTCGAAATTTGTTGTTATTATCATCGTCAATGAAATACAGATTATATTTTAATTGTTCTTATTCAGAAAAGCATGTGTTTGCTTTACATTCAGATGACTTCTCTCTTTTTTACTTGATGCATTAATTTTTTTCAAGATTAAATAACGTTACATAAAACTTACTCGTTGCATAAATCAATTAAAATGAATTTTTTTGATAGTTTATCTACGGATTATTTGAAAAAATTGCTGTATCAACACCTGCTGCTTGTTAAAAAGTTATTAATTGTGAACAAACACACACTGCTATTATACCATAAAAGCAAGTAAGGTGCATTTAAGTCTTTACATTCAACTAATAAATTATAGACGTTAATTCATTTTTCATTTATACACATATATAATATGTGTAGTTATTTTAATAACTATAGAAATGTAATACAAACTGGATATGGAAAAATTTATATCGTGACCTTTGCAAACGTCGCGTTGCAAAACTCGCATTTTTCCAAAGAGTTTTCGCGCGCGAGTATTAATTCACTGGTTTACCAGGCATTATTACACGTGAAGGGGAATGATTTAGCAATGTTCTATCGTGCATAATTATTATGAGTTATAACCGTTGATATATGCGCCACCTCGAAATGTATATAAAAAACTGTATCGCACCATCATAAGAAAAAATCTTGACAAATTCATGTTGCAATTGTACGTGAAAAACTTTGCGGTGTTACACACGTAACGAGATTATATGCTACAATCAGATACAAAGATATACAAAGCAGATAATTTTGTAAAAAATTTCGAATTTAAATTTTATTGAAAAAAACTAGTTTCGATTTTGTAAAATATTAAAAATATATATTACAAATTTATCTTAGCAATTATTTTTGCACACAATTGTTCAGATTTAAATTGGTCTTTGTTACACTCGATTACAAAATTAGATATTGATTGCTTTTATATAATATTTCATAATTATTTTTTTATATATCAGGTTAATTGATTTTACTTGACCCTCTACGCTCAAAATTATACCGCACCCATGTTGACTTTTTATAACAAATAATCGATCTATTGTCTTGCTGACAAAGATTAATTATTTATTTCGCAAGTTGCGAATGACTTGCAAGATACATAAATAGCAAAATTATAGCGATCTTTTTAATGTTAAAGCAAAATTGCCTTTAAGAACAAGTAAAGAAATCTGACAATTTTAATGCAGGAACTATATAAAATTGAATTGCGATAGAAAATTAGAAAAAAATATTTATCTCGCGACCTACAATCACATCAATTTGCATGAACATGTGCGTTTAGCAAGAAGTGCAGTTGCGGCAATAAAATGTTTCGTTGCAACAGTGTATTTCAAAAAATATGTGCTGGCATACTTTTTGATTCCTGCATACTAATTTGGAGTAAATGGCAAATGAATTAAAAAAAATCTGAGAGAGAGAGAGAGAAAGAAATAATATAAAATAGATATCCTAACAAAAATGTATGTATATACATCGAGATATAATAGAAATGGAGAATGATGCTATAATAATTATTAATGCGTTATTATTTAATTGTACGACGATTATATCAATTCAGCGAAAAAGTTGTGACATTTAATACATATTGTATATCTGTGTATAACAAAGATATTTAAAATCGTGCATCAAGACACCTGGTTGATCAGGCTCTTCTTGCAATGCCATTTCGCTGACCAACTCCGAGTTGGATGGCACATCGCCGACTCGAGCCGTATGTGTGTGTTAATCTGAACGTAAAATGATTTAACACATTGATACGTTTGTTAGAGAGATAAAAAGATACTATTATGTTATATTCACGATTAGTGATGGGTTAAATTTCTGAAATTACATGATTAGAATCGAAATTCATATTCCGCGTTTACTTACTTCAATCTACAAATTTTTTATTGTTATCAAAGATATTTTTTTTATTTGTGTAACATTTGTCATTGTCAGAAATTTTAATTCTCAACAATGGAATAGTCATAAAATGAGTTACGTTATAATTAACACTAAAATACAAAAAAAAATAAAGTTCTCTTTATAAACAGTTGAAATAATTTTTAAATCTTTTGAATTTAACAAATAACTTGTAAATTGTGTCGTTAATTAAAACAAATTATGCAATACACACTTTCTAAGAATTAATATAAGTAAAAATACAATGCAGTTTGTCGTAATTCAATTTCCGAGATGATATCTAAGATGTCACGGTTTCTCTCAGGAGTGGTTGCGAATATTTTTCCGTAGATAGAAACGAATGAGAAAATTTTCACTTAAACCCATCGCTGTGAATCGTTCGAGAATTTTTTACCGACTGGTTTTTACTCGCTGTGTAAGCTCGATGGCAGGCAACTTTAACGGTCTGGACAACCTGTCGCGCCGTTTGTGTAGCATGATCATCTCGTGTCTGTGGAAGAAAAGTATCTCACGCTGTTGCAAACATTCAATTCTCAATTTTATATACCTTCGTATTCTCTTAATTTTAATAGATCCGGAAACTGCTTCCTAGTTTTTGTTCATTTTTATTCAATTCAACGTTCTATTAAATTGTGTGGAAAATATAAAATTCACTAATATAAATAATTTCTAGTTATTATATAATAATTTTAATTTTCAATAAAATAATTTAATAATTATATAATACATTTCTATATTAACTGCGTAAATTTTATATATTTTAAATAATTTTTGATAATTAATTGGTGAGAATAATTTAAATTTTGCACGAAATATGTCATCAAAACAAAATAATTCTGATCGCGTATTATTATATACATATATATAATAAACAAAAAGACGAAGGTTAAAATATCGGCGAAGTCATCATTACCGATTATCATGTCGTATTACAAATTTAGATCTGGCTATGGTCGTAGGCGGGCACGATTTAACGTCCCGTTTGCGTCCCATGATTGTGTTTATCCTGTGAGAGAAAAAGCATATGATCTCTGTAGATACGAAAATAGTGATCACATCTTGAAGCAATCACGCGTTTAAATTAGCTTTATGATGCATATGTATACATCGACCTTTCTTTTAGCTTCACTTTTGTACAAATATATATTCGCGGAATCGAAAATACTCCCCCAGTGATTTATTTATGCTTAGATAGTTTACTTTCGTTTTATGAGAGATAGAGATACCTGTATATTTCTTTGTGATTAATATTACAAATTTTATTTGTAATTTATTAATTTTTATTAGAGAAAGAGAGATTGAGTCATAAACGAGTATCGATATAATCGGTTCTGATTATTTGTAAAATATATTATTGTGTTTGGAAATAAATAAACCTCAATGGTAAATCGATTATACTCGATTCACCAAGGTTGCACGTATTTCTTCTTAGAATCAAATCTTCATCGATCCGCACATCGGTGTACTTAAAACGGTATTCATCATTCAGGTCAATTTAGCATATAAATTAATGCAATCAATGTAGAATGTGAAAAAGAATGCAGTGTAAAATTCATTTTTAAGCTTATTCCATCAATTATCTAATTAGATTTCTTATAATTGAGTATAAAAAAATTGAGTGTTTATTGAGAGGCTACCATTGGATTTCGAGAAAAAAACCATCGATATTGCCACGTATCTCTTAATAATATACGCGTAAAAAAGAAGAAAAAATCGATGTTCGCGTTGCTTCCGCTTTAATTATATATAAGTATCGAACTCTGTGCGATTCTTTGGCTAAACTCGACCCGTGCGAATTCGTCATGCCGATGTGACAGCGAAAGTTGTCACGGTATTGCGTATTCTTGCGTAGTTAGCGCTGTGTCGCACTGATGTCGGGGTTCACCGTCGCCTCCTGTGTCATTTTAATACTGCATGAGCCTAAGACGATGTG